CCGTAAATTAGTTAATTTAAAAAAAAAATTTTGATTCCATACTTTTTATTCACCTTGTATATTTTTTAATAATTCAGTAAAGGTACCAAAACAGGGTCGAGGTACAAAATTTAAACCCCACACTTGAAATTTTTATAGATAATTCTTCTTTAACATTTCTTTCCATGTTCGTGGTATCTTATCTTACTTGGCATTTTTCTCTGAGGTGCAAGTTTTAAAACATTCTTTATTTAATTTGGTGCAAACCCGGCGCATCCACCATTTTTGACACTATTATTATACAGTTATTTTTGTTCAAAACATTTTTTATGAATATACCTATGTAATTGCATTGTTTAATTTTTGCTTTTGAAAATAAAAAATCTAGAAAAAAACATAAAAATATCCTAACAAATTTTCCAGGCATAAATGTTCTTGACAATAGTTTAAAATAAGACATCCACTTTGTGGGAAACTTTTTAACATCGTGGCGTTCTTTCCGGAAAGAATGGAATATTAAAACGCTCCATTCTTGTTAAATTCATAGGTGGGTAGTTACCTGTCAGATTATAAAATATGTAGCGAATTTAACACACTTCACTTGAAAATTTTTAATGTAGAAAACATATTAATTCTAGTGTCAGACGCCTTTAAAAATTTACGATAATATTTATATTTTGAAGTTGGTAGCGCTTATAGCATCATAAATCACTCTATTGTGTGTACGAAATCTTTGCGATGATGTGTCGTCTCAATTTTTTAATTTGCATCCGCTTTAAAATCCTTGTCCTCCGCGACATAATTACGGATCACCTGTAGAGATATAATTTGTATAACGGCTGTTGTAAATTACGTAACTCGGCCGATTAAGAAGTTTTATATGGAAGTTTGTGTCGCGGTAGAGGCGATGTATATTACGACTCTGACAAAATAACGGATACACTCCGGAACCATAGAGAATAAATACAAAAAGCGACAGGATGTGGAGAAGGAACAGACTAGGTAAACGGAAGAGCAGAAGAATACAAAAAGAATCTCATTGTGTAACGCGGATATCTACCCAGGGGTAACATTATGCAAAATAGGCTGGAAATGCACGGCTTCGTTGCAATGTACGCTTATATTGGGACGATTATGTCAGCTTTTTACTTGAAATGCCATTGTCCGTGAAACGCTACATCTACTAAAAATTCTCTTCTAAGAACTTATTTTAAATGAAGTAGAATATACTCGTAATGTACTTAACTACTTCCTGAAACTACATACAGGCCTCCCAGCGAGTTAAAAAAAATTTGCTTCAACCCCAATTTTAAACTGAAATAAAGCAATTTGTGATATTTTCAAACGGCTTGGCTCAATTTTAAACCAGAAATCAACCTAGATCAAAGTATTTCAACAAAATAATGGCTTGAATAAGAATCTTCTGTCAAAATAAAGCAATTTGAGCTATTTTCAAACCAATTTTGCTCGAATTTAATACAGAATTAATTCAAAATTAATGTATTTTATAAAAATAATTATTACTAATTAATAAAATAATAATAAAAATAATTATTAATAATCTTAATTTAACGCTAAACTTTTATTTGTTGATTTTGCTTAGTTTTAGAAATAAGACGTTTATTTGACGAAAACATGCACATAAAATTTATTACACAAAAACTAAGACAGCTAGAACATTTTTTTTCTTACTTCTGCAAAGACGAAATTACAGAATTTGAAGCTGTAACAGTTTTTGGATTTATAAAAATATTTTTACATCTAATAGATTGATAATTGTCTACCTAAAACAATAAACTATTAATGTCTAGAATTGATAAATGATAAGATATTTAACATTTAATATTAATTGAAGCAACAATGCTTATTAATATCTGAGCATTGTTGATATTATAGCAACCATAGTAATTCCACCACGGATCACTTATCCGTTGATTTATCCAGAGATTTTGTAAAAGTCGTTATAAATACTGAAATTCGAATTATTTTGTTGTAAAAATGAAGAATAATGAATTCAGTTTAACACAAATGTGATTATTAAGTGATATTTATTTCATCTTTTGTGCAACTGTGCACTTTTTGGCTACTGAAACAATAGTAATTATTTTTTTTTATGTTTACCGTTAAATATCTTGTTGATTGATTATAAACACCTAAAAGTAAATAATTTTAGAAAGACAATTTAATAATCGTTTAAATACAAAAACATTAAATAGGGTGTTCCACTAAAATTTTTTAAGATATTGAACTTTTAACAAACGCCTTCATTTTTTTATCTTTGCAAATGCAACTTACTAAAAAATGTTACAACCTTATAGCTTGGACCTTCTTCTTTGCGGTAGTAAAAAAATATTTCTTGATGTCTTAGTTTTTGTGTAATATTTTTTTAATGCATGTTTTTGTCAAAAAAAAACGTGTTACTTTTAAAACTAAGCAAAATTGACCAATAAAAGTTTAGCTTAAAAACATTGTTATAAAAATCTACATCCAAAAACGCTAAGAAACATATCGTGTTTCATTTAAAAAAACACAAGTTTGTATTAAAACTTATTTTTGAGACACGTTGTATAGTTGAAAATAATTTTAGGCGATGGACTAGATTAGTATCTATCAATGTCCTATATATTTTTTTATTTTACCATTTAAAGGTCACTAATAAACTTTTTCAACTCGCTGGCACACCCTGTATAAAGACTTAATTACACTTTTTAAACAACATGTGTCAGAAAGAAGAACTGTAATCGTAAAGGGATTGCGATTTGATCCGTCACTAACGTCGTTAAATATTAAAGCAGTTGGCTGAAACTTTTTATCACAGCAACAAAGTTATTGGTCAAATAAAATACAGCAAAACGTGGACAGTTGGACAAGTTATATGGAGTTTCCTTGTCATATTAGAAGAAAAGAATGGCACCAGAGGCAACAAATCGTTATCGTCACCTCTTAGGCTAGCGACTTTGGATTTATATTCAAACTTTCACAGTATATCTCGAATTTTAAAAGAACCACCATCCGTCCTCTTCCATTTAATGAAATTACTTACAAACTATTAAAAAGTTGCAGCCATCTCAAAACTCTACTTCGTTCGGGTAAATATATTTACTTTTGTAGAGCAGTTTTTAGAACTTGCATATATTTTATTTCGCATTTTGTGCAGCACAATGAAAATGGACCGGAAATGTATGCAAACTAACTTGATGTATACGGTAAAGTTAATTTAAAAAATTTCCTAAATGCGAAATGCAAATTGTGTTTGTTTCACTTAGAGAAAAATGGAGGAAGTAAACATCTTTTTATGCTAAGCAAAGAAATTATCTCCGACTTTTCCTATTTTCATTACTGAAACCTATTTTACAAACTGACACGAAAACTAAACACTTTCCGCCCTACAACTATTAATTAACTGTAAAAATGACAAAAAAACATTATTCATTCATTCACAAATCGATTAACTGTAGGAAATAAATGTGTACATTTTTATTTTGATAAGTATCGTTTTGACATTAATTATTATTAATTTCTACGGAACTAGAGAACTGAATGTTTTGTTGACATAAAATATACACCTATTGTATGGGCTGCATGCTCTAATTACAAAATCAAATACGATTCATGCAAATTAAAACTGAAATATAAAAATGGGTGGTAGTGAAAAGTAATTTATTTTAATGCACATTATTTAGTATGCAATTAAAAAAAGTTTCAAACAAAAAAAACATGACATCAAATGTTTTTTTTTTTATATAATTTATGTAGAATGAGAAAACCGACTGCCTTTTTTCTTGTACTTCTGGATATTTTGATTGAAATTCTGCATGTTGTTACTTATCGAATAAATGTCAAACCGTTTATTAGCTTTTTTAAATGAATAAATTTGTGAAAGCAATTAAGCATTGAAAACAACGTTAAATCCGTTTTGGTTTTTTAACATGTGACAAAGCAAACAAGCATTGCGATAATTTAGAATTAATTTAAGTTTTATACAGCCCCATGTTTTTAGTGAAACTTTTTATAAACAAGTCAACTGCTCGAATAAACATTATGAATAAATAATGCTCAAGTCTGTGTACAAATACTGAAAAGCTGCTTTTATGAAATAGTTGTTGAAAAAAAAACAATAACTTACCTGAAATTCCATCGTAAGTCCACCATTCCTCCCAGCTCACAGCAGACGTCACTGAAACAGCAAAAAATGCACAAGTTGAGGATTGATTAGTGACAATAATTGATGCATGGCAGAGTTAGTCTTGTGTAAGCCCATATTTTGTCGGCTTTGTTAGGATTACTTCCGACCGCCGCCACGCGTCGTTCGCACAGCTAGGCACGTATCTCATTTTTAATCCGGATTATCTCTCAACTCGTCTGTTTTTTCAAACATTGCTCGTATTTGTCAAGTACCTCGCGAAAGCTGCAATTCCGTTTGACAAATACATGTTTGGCACTAATTGCGACATGTAAAGCAGACAAATTCCGACGTCTTATTGATAAACGTGACGGGATTGGGAAAATTACGCCGAAAAATGTGACACACGGAAAAAAACTCAAGAGGTCGGAGAGCAGAGAACAAATATTCTCAAAGATAAGCAGCGACAAACCCTGCCCTTTGTTAAGCAATAATTAGCTACTAGAATTCTTCATTGTGCGAACAAAGGGCAAGCGTTACGTATTTATTGGATTAATTGTAGTGTCGTCGAGACGTCCCTAATGACCACTAGATGCCAAGAATTACTAACGAGATGAGGCAAAACAACAATAACAAGTAATTTTGAGATTTTATGTAACGTTTTTTGACTCAGACACAGAAATATTAGTAAAAAATTATCGATGGACCCTTTTCTTAATTTTTTAAAAGAGTTTGTTTTTATATTTAATTTCTTCTTTGAAAAACGGTGATCCTTTTATAAAAAGTTTTCGAGACTCATTTCAGTTTTCATCTTATTCATACCACATGTACTTGTATTATTAATTTTATTCTTCGACACTGTCAAAATTTACGGTTTTTTTCATGTGTAAACAAACGTTAGATTATTTTTAAGAGACTTAAAGCAATTTTAACCCTTGCTGAGTCTATTTCGAAGAATAGAATGTTATATTGAACTCGTCTTCGTGTAAATTGGGTCATTTATTCCACCTCGTGGATTTACATTCAAACTCGTCGAATAAATAACAATAAATTTACTCTGTATAATTCTAATAGTTTATTATGTAACTAGTGCTATAAACGCCACTTTAGACATGAGTTTTATTAAGCACGAGCGAAAAAGCGGAGCGAGTGTTTAATAAAACGAATGTTTACAGAAGTTTATACACGTGTCACATACTATATTTTTTCTACAATCATCACAAAAAAATTACTTAAACAAAAAATTAAATTAAACGTAACTAATACGCATATTAGTCAATATATTTATATAGTAGATTTCATTGAAATTGGCATAATGGTTGGCTATGGAATTTTGTTTTTTTATGATTACTTACTTATTTACATGGTTTGTTGAACTGACATGACTGACATTTGTATTCGTTTTTTCACTGTTTTTGTTGCTTGTTCGTTATTCCCAGTATTTTTGCAAATTATAATTAAAAGTTGTTCTCTTCACAACCAAAGATTTAGAGTACACGCTAAAGTATGTTTGAAAACATAATCAATTTCTTTTTGTTTTTCCTGTTTTAGGTTAATAGAATCAAATATACTGTAAAAGCAAATACTGTATGTTCTTGGTGTTAAAACTACACCTACAAAGGGATGAGACAGGGTTTTAAACTTTTTATGGAAAAACCTCTGTATGAAAACCTCTAAAAGAGAGTTCTTTAAAAATAAAATTTGAACTATCTTAACCTCACTTTTTTTAGTGACAAATTTAGTAGTGTTGCGAGATCAAAAACATAAAATTCATCAGATACGAGTTAAAAAATTCGCCAAATTACGATTTGTTTGGCTATATCTCACGAAAAAACGCAGTTTTTAGCTTAAAAATCCGCTTAAACTCTTGAAAAAAATCATAAATGACATGACAATTCGGCTTAATTCTGTGATTTTTCGGCTTGTTTTTAACAAAATTTTGCAAAATAATTGCAAAAACGCGCTCGAGAAATGCAAAAATAATGTAATTTTAGACTTAATTTCTTGATTTTTTAGTTTGTTTTAGTGAAATCTAGTGAAAAACCTAAGATTATAGTACAAGAACCCACTTAAAAGCATTTTGTGGTTTTTCAGCTTATTTTTGTCTTATTTTGCTCAAAAATCAGTTAAACCGAGTGACATTAAAATCAGTTTTTTTTGTGGTTTTTAAGCGTGTTTGGACAAGATTTTGCAAAATAAGTAAGCCTCTGGTTTAAAAACGAAATAAGTCGAGCGGAACAAGCTAAAAACCACATTAATTTCGATTCAATTTTCCTGCTTCAATAATTTTTTTAGATTTTTTTTTGTTTTTATCTATCAGGTGTAAACACTTGAAAAAGGCAAATATAACCCCGTTTTTGGTCGAATTTGTTAAATTTTTCGATTGTTTTTAACGAAATTTTGCGAAATAATTGTTTTTAGCTAAAAAGTATTCGAAAAAGACAAAAATAAATTGTCATTTTCGATTCTATTAACAAACAGAAAAATTTTTTGATTTTTTGAAAAAAATTGACGAAATAATCAAGTTTCTGGTTGAAAATGCGGAAAATACTGAAAAAACAGATTTTTTCACTTCATTAAAAAATTACCAGATATTAGAATTTTTACAAAAGATTTTATCAAATCACCACACTAACATGAAAATCACCAGATTTGGTGAAATTTCACCAAACTCGGCAACACTGAAATTTAATTCCTTAATATGTAAAGCCTTTTTTACATCTAAGGCGCGGGTTATACCATCATAGCTTACTATTATGCTAATTTCAATGAAATGGATTATAAAAGGTCACTTAGCATCATGGAAACATATACGATAATCCGTGTTTTAGAAGTGGGAGTAGAAAAAATAAATTTTAAATTTAGTAATAAGTACTTTTCTATTTTCCTAATGGCAAAACAACTCTAACTTTATGCTAGACATTTTTGTGTAATTGCAAATGCAAAATGACTTTGTCGACAGTATTGGATGAACTAGACTCTAATAAGTTTAATGTAGGTAAATAGGAGCAAAATCATTTTGGATATTGTTGGTATTTTTAATTGGCTGGTAGTAAAGTTCCGTAAGTGAACTGCATAAGGTGAAGTTTGTAGTTTTAATCTATGTCGCCGAGAGCGGTCGAAATGCTTTTGCTCCGAAACTGGAAAGTTTTAAAAGAAGAAAAAATCAAATGGACTGTTTTCTGCTTCCTTTGATTCGATCTCATTTCTATTACGCGAGTTTCAACTTCAATCGCTTTTTGTGTATACAAAGTTTGCGTAAAGTCAATCGGCGGGAAATGCGAGCCCGGTATTTAATGGGTCCGGAATCGCTGATTATTCACAATCTGATGCCTTTCTGAATCGTGGAGGAATGTCGACTTATCCAGCTTTTCATTAACTCGACCAGTATTAAATCGAAAAAGTCCCCGTCGTAAATCTAGCGTTTGAGGACGTTACTTTCTATTTCTGCGAAGAGTTGATGATGATATAGTGTGGCGTCGGTGAAGAGTACGCGACGCATTTAGGCGCCTCTTTGGGGACGGCATCCACCGCAAACCTGCGGCTTCTGAACTCATTCTTTCCTATAAACGGGGTGCCCGACCATTTTCCCGTCACGTCTTTATTATATCCTTCCCATGGGGCGAACAAAATGTTACATAACTTCTTGTAAAAGTCGAAACCTTCCATCCCGTCGAGAGAAAAGTTCAGTTTTTGTTGATTTTATTCCATTTTCCGATACCGGAGTCGGCCCTTATGTTTCACTTATACGCTAATCTCCAGCCGAAAATTTCAGGGAAAAATTAGGAAGTATTCGAGTGTAAACTGCTGAAATGTTCATGTTGAAAGCAAATTTCTTCGAACGTTAACATATTTCTATTTACTTATGCAATCAGTTCGTCCAACTTTGATAAAATCAAGTTTCCTTTAAATGTAAACCTTAAAATTTAAAACGCGATTCCTTCAGCCACGGTGCTATTTTGATATGCAAATCAGCAACGGTTCTTGTTTATGATAATGCATAACGTGATTATTCATGGCAGAAATCTTGAATTTTTGCAAGCGTATAAAATATCATTTCGGTACGGCCAGACAGAAGTAGTAAAACAATTCCCGGACGTAGAAACTTGTTTCTTTCGTCTGTTAATAATAAATGGGTTAATTTTTCTAGAGCTTCGCAAATCCGTGGATTTAGCGGCACTGAGCCCCCTAATTTGTAACTTGAGCAGTTTGCAATCTTATCGCGGTCTCTTCGGGGCCCCGAGGCTCACTATTAGTTATTTACCTCCTTTCTTAACGATTGCTGCTGTAATAAGGAATGACGGTGCGCCACTGTCTTGACACCAATCCAATTTACCTCCCTAAGCTCGCCTAATGATAATTACGCGCGATCTTAATTTAATATTTCTCTTGTTTCCGAATTGAATTAAAGATATTCGTCTTGTTTTCTTTACCAAAGACACGCCTAATGAATTACTTTTTGTTCCGCAAAAAATAAACAGACCAAATTATTCCAACCGCAATCACAAATGTGAACAATAATACCGACATCATGTGCACCTAATTATTGGCTACAACTCATTACTCTTAAACAAAACAAATTTAAAGGTCAACATCCCGCAGCATTACTATTTGCCACAAACATTAGCATTATTAAATCAATTGAATAATAGTTAGCAAAAATTATCGTCTTTTAATTATTAATTGACTGGCAGTTCATAGACTAAAATACAACAAAAATATTGCCAGGAGAAGTGTACAATTTTCCATCCATCACAACCCAGTTTTAATTGGCAGTGTTTCCGTCATTTTTATTACCACACGTCACACAAGAAATGTTTAATTAACATTCTTCCTTCCCTACGTGGTGGAATGGTGGAATAAAATAATTATAAACCTGACCGGAAAAACAGGTAAAAATTCGACACAAGTTGTGACGTGTATGTTTTAAGCTCGACTTTTATAATTTAGAATAACACAGACAACCGAAAAACAATACAGTTGTAAAATATTTTTTCAATAGTGATTTAGTAATTAAAATTGTTGTTTTTGAAGTATTAGCCGTAATGTATGTA